GAAAAACACACTACAGCCTCAGCACATGGCCATCATCAATAAAAAAAAAAAAAAATTACCTGCCAAAATCAAACACACATACATACAATCTCACAGAAGTGAGTCCAACCCTCATTTTTTAATGTAAATATTTCATTCTCTCTTTTCATGTGACAACACTGAAGAAATGACACTTTGCTGCAATATGACGTAGTCAGTGTACAGCTTGTATAACATGGAAATTTGCTGTCCCCTCAAAATAACTCAACACACCGCCATTAATGTGTAAACCACTGGCAACAAAAGTGAGTCCACCCCTAAGTGACAAGGTCCAAATTGGGCCCAAAGTGTCAATATTTTGTGTGGCCGCCATTATTTTCCAGCACTGCCTTAACCCTCTTGGGCATGGAGGTCACCAGAGCTTCACAGGTTGCCACTGGAGTCCTCCTCCACTCCCCCATGATGACATCACGGAGCTGGTGGATGTCAGAGACCTTGCGCTCCCCCGCCTTCCGTTTGAGGATGCCCCACAGATGCTCAATAGGGATTAGGTCTGGAGACATGCTTGGCCAGTCCATCACCTTTACCCTCAGCAAGGCAGTGGTTCTCTTGGAGGTGTGTTTGGGGTCGTTATGTTGGAATACTGCCCTGCGGCCCAGTCTCCGCTTCAGTATGTCACAGTACATGTTGGCATTCATGGTTCCCTCAATGATCTGTAGCTCCCCAGTTCCGGCAGCACTCATGCAGCCCCAGACCATGACACTCCCACCACCATGCTTGACTGTGGGCAAGACACACTTGTCTTTGTACTCCTCACCTGGTTGCCGCCACACACTCCTGACACCATCTGAACCAAATCAGTTTATCTTGGTGTCATCAGACCACAGGACATGGTTCCAGTAATCATGTCCTTAGTCTGCTAGTGTCTTCAGCAAACGGTTTGCGGGCTTTTTTGTGCATCATCTTTAGAAGAGGCTTCCTTCTGTGACAACAGCCATTCAGACCAATTTGATGCAGTGTGCGGCATATGGTCTGAGCACTGACAGGCTGACCCCCCCACCCCTACAACCTCTGCAGCAATGCTGTCAGCATTCATACATCTATTTCCCAAAGACAACCTCTGGATATGACGCTGAGCACGTGCACCTGGGAGGAATCGCATATTGTGGCTGTCACAAATGTTTGTCACATAGACTCTGCACAGGAACACATTCAGTGTTTCGGGGGGGGGGGGGGGGGGGGGGGGGGGGGGTGTATTGTAGTACGCATTATACAGCTTGCAATATCAGAGCACTTTTTTCGTATTTTTTGCATATTGTATCTTGAGGATGTCCCGAATAACCAATGTTGCATAAATCCACACTGGAGCATATTTATGTTTCTGTGGAGGGAGGTGTATTGTAGTACATCATAAATGTGTTGGGATGTTTATTATCAAAATATTGGATTTATTTGAGGAGGAAGCACACATAGCATATAAGTGTTGCACACATAAGGGAGGAAGGTGTTTTATAGCACTATTTAGTAGCACCACAAAAAAAAGTTTATAATCTTGTCATCTTTATCCATCTGAGGGTATAAGAGGAGTGGCAGGCAGCTACACTGCTGTAATTATCAGTCCATAAGCGCGGATAATAAACCAGTATTCTTACTGAATAGAATGTCCATGTACAGTACAGTATGCACTCAATACTTGGTTGAGGCTCCTTTATGCACGTTTGCATTTAGAAGCGTTTTTTTAAAGATAAGCACAGGAGCACCTCCCAAATGCCCAAAATGCACTGAAAAGTGGTAAATTATTAACCATTTCAGACTGTTTCAGAGAAATACAGAAAGTAGAAGCAGAGACAGCAGTATGTGTTGAGAATAGCTTAGGTGTGAGTTGCTTATTAACATTTCTTTTGTTTCCAAGGGTGAGAAAGGTGTCTGGTGGAGGGAGACATTAAGGTCACCTGGCAGGGGGTCTCCATGAGGTGTGAATGGTCATTAACATATCTTTTGTTACCAAGGGTGGGAGAGGTCTGAGGTGTGAATTGGTCATTACAATGTGTGACAAGTTTGGTAGAAACTTCCTGTGTTCAGTGTTTTGTCCATCTGAGTACCTTGAAATGATGAAAAAAGGCTCTGGATAGCATTGGGAACTGAAAGAGTTAAAAAAAAATTTTCAAACGCAAAAGCTTATAAACATGCTTTGCAGCGTTTAGCCGCGTTTACAAGCATTTTCCGTTTGAAACGCTGATAAAATCGACTGCTGAACGCAAGTTTTCTGCGTTCAAAAAAGCGACTGTAAACTCAAATGACTGTAAACGACGATATGAACACGGACACATAGGAAAACATTAGGGTGAGTTCAGGGGCTGCTGAAAACACTGAACAGCTCCTAAACGTGAGTTTATCAGCTGCAGTGTACATGAGGCCTTAGACTGCACTAGATTGCATGCAAGATTTTGCATCTGCATCTCCAGCAAATTTTGGGTGAATCTCCCTCTAGTGGTAGCCACTGGTATTGCAGGCTGCAATACCTACTTTTACATTCCCAAAGTAGGCTCTCTCCTCATTTCTCCTCTACTACACAAGGTTCCTGTGCCAATTAGCGAATCGCTGTAGACGCAAGCCTTGAAAAGCCTTATACACAACAAAAAGTGTCATTTAAAATGTTACTAAATCTATGACCCTGCATTCACTATATCTGATCTCCCACAGTACACAATACTAAATTGCATTCCCATGTTTATATCCACTGTATTTAACAGTTTATATTAAGTCTACACACCCCTGTTAAAATGTCAGGTTTCTGTGATGTAAAAAAATAATTCCAGAACTTTTTCCACCTTTGATGTGACCTATAAACTGTACAACTCAGTTGAACAACAAACTGAAATCTTTTTTTTGTTACACATAAAAAACTAAAATAATGTGGTTGCACAAGTGTGCACACCCCTCTTATATCTGGGGATGTACCTGCGTTCAGAATTAAGCAATCACAGAAAGAAAACTGGTCTGGGAGGCTGCCAAGAGGCCTGCAGCAACATTAAAGGAGCTGCAGGAATATCTGGCAAGTACTGGCTGTGTGGTACATGTGACAACAAACTCCCGTATTCTTCATATGTCTGGGCTATGGGGTACAGTGGCAAGATGGAAGCCTTTTCTTATGAAGAAAAACATCCAAGCCCGGCTAAATGTTGCAAAAAACACATCTGAAGTCTCCCAAAAGCATGTGAGAAAATGTGTTCTGGTCTGATTAAACCAAAGCTGAACTTTTTGGGCATAATTCCAAAAGATATATTTAGCGCAAAAACAACACTGCACATCATCAAAAGAACACCATACCCACAGTGAAGCATGGTGGTGGCAGCATCATGTTGTGGGGCTGTTTTTCTTCAGCTGGAACTGGAGCTTTAGACAAGGTAGAAGGACTTATGAACAGTTCCAAATACCAGTCAATATTGGCACAAATATTACAACATACAAACGGCGCAAAAAAAAAAAATAGTATATATAATAATAAAATTAATAGAAATTATGTGTTTCACTCCAAAATATTATAATAAAATGACATATTTATATGAAATTAAAAGTTCCACTCCAAAATAAGTGAAAGAAATTGGTAAAAAAAAATCTCTGAAAGTCCTCTTCCCAAAGAGATAAAAACGTGCTTCTACCAAAGATAGCGCTCAAACAATATATACTGCACTCACCAGATACTGGTGAAAAAAAATGCCTTTAGGGTTTTAATGGGATCCTAGACCCAGTTAATAGCCTCCAGATCTCCACTCCACCAAATAGCCAACCTCCAGGATCATCAGACTCCACTCTCCAGGAACACTCAGTACAATGTAGGGAAAAACAGAATATATAGCGTAATACTGCAACACTTGGTTAGATTCAATTCTCAAGTACCAAGCCACTCACATTCTTAATGATCAAAGTCGGTATTTTATTTTTATTTATATTTCAGATACTTATATAGCGCCATCAATTTACGCAGCGCTTTACATTATATATATATATATATATATTGTACATTCACATCAGTCCCTAACCCTTAAGGGGTGTACAATCTAAGGTCCCTAACTCACATTCATACATACACATACTAGGGACAATTAGACAGGAGCTAATTAACCTACCAGCATGTCTTTGGAGTGTAGGAGGAAACCTGAGTACCTAGAGGAAACCTACGCAAGCACAGGGAGAACATGCAAACTCCAGGCAGGTGGTGTCGTGGTTGGGATTCGAACCAGCAACCCTAGTACTGCCAGGCGGAAATGCTAACCATTTAGCCACTGTGCCGCCCATTTTAATTGCAGAGAATCTCCCATACACAAAGATGGCCCCCAGGAGCGCCGCACGCTGGCGTGCGCTACACTCACCGGAAGTGACGTATTACGTATGGCGGTGGAACCGAAAATGTGTCGTCTGTGAAAACGCCCTGGAGGGGCAAAGCGCGTCGACGCATTTCCGGTTCCGCCGCCATACGTAACACATCACTTCCGGTGTGTGAAGCGCACGCCGGCGTGTGGTGCTCCTGGGGCCATCTTTGTGTATGGGAGATTCTCTATGCTGTCATCTGCTGCTGACTGTGGGATCTCTGGAAACTACCCTGATGTTGTGACATTTCTGAATTTATTGAAATGCAATCAAAATGACGATTTTAATTATTAAGAATGTGAGTGGCTTGGTACTTGAGAATTGAGCATAACCAAGTGTTGTAGTATTACGCTATATATTCTGTTTTTCCCTAAATTACTGGGGATTTTAACTAAAGCTTACCCTGAGAGAAGTGGATTTCAAACTGTCCCACTGTGGGCTTTCTGCAGTTTGCGGAATGTGTTATTTAAAGCAGATTTTTAGAAAAATAACAAATACAGTACAGAGAACTATTTTGGCCTCAAGTAGATTTGGATCTTTTCCACGTATAAATTGTTCCCAAAGTAAATTGATGAGGAGTGAAATATTCGTCCATCAAGGTAACGGACAAGACATTAAAATTAGAAGGCATTACACTTGTCAAACTACAGATGTAATATATGTTCTAATCCGGGGGGGACTGACAACTCATGGGGCCCCCGGGCAATAGGGGATTATGGGGCCCCTGTGTCCTTGCCCAAACTCAAAAAAGCCTATGAAAAAGGTACCATCTCATGGGGCCCCCTACTGACCCTGGGCCCTTGGGCAGTGCCCGAGTTTCCAAATGGTCAGTCCGCCCCTGGTTCTAATGAGTCCCTGTCATTTATTATATGTAGGTGAAATCACACAGAAAAAAACGAAAGATTGCTTAGCTCAGCATAAATGTTCAATCAGGAGTAAACAACCAGGACTTCCGGTATCAAGACATTTTACTGAAATGAATCAAAAGGAAACAGATTTACCATTCATGATATTACAGGTTTTAAAAGACAGAGGGGATGGTAACAGGATTTTTTCCTTGAAAAAGCAGGAAGTCTGGTGGATTAATAGGGACAATCCAATTGTCCAAATAAGGATTATGATCTGTACTTGTTTTTGTAAGCTTGGTTAGATTGTGTATATGTACCGTATTTTTCGCTCCATAAGACGCGCCTGACCATAAGACGCACCTAGATTTTAGAGGTTGAAAACAGGAAAAAAAATATTCTGAACTAATGGACTGCAGACATAGTACAGGAGATGACCAGAGACTGCGGACAGTACAGGGATGACCAGAGACTGCGGACAGTACAGGAGATGACCAGAGACTGCGGACACAGTACAGGAGATGACCAGAGACTGCGGACAGTACAGGAGATGACCAGAGACTGCGGACAGTACAGGGATGACCAGAGACTGCGGACACAGTACAGGAGAGGACCAGAGACTGCGGAGAGTACAGGGATGACCAGAGACTGCGGACAGTACAGGGATGACCAGAGACTGCGGACAGTACAGGGATGACCAGAGACTGCGGACAGCACAGGGATGACCAGAGACTGCGGACAGCACAGGGATGACCAGAGACTGCGGACAGCACAGGGATGACCAGAGACTGCGGACAGCACAGGGATGACCAGAGATGCGGACAGCACAGGGAGACTGCGGACATAGTACAGGGATGACCAGAGACTGCGGACAGTACAGGGATGACCAGAGACTGCGGACAGTACAGGAGATGACCAGAGACTGCGGACAGTACAGGAGATGACCAGAGACTGCGGACAGTACAGGAGATGACCAGAGACTGCGGACAGTACAGGGATGACCAGAGACTGCGGACAGTGCGGACAGTACAGTACAGGGATGAGCAGAGACTGCGGACAGTACAGGGATGAGCAGAGACTGCGGACAGTACAGGGATGAGCAGAGACTGCGGACAGTACAGGGATGAGCAGAGACTGCGGACAGTACAGGGATGAGCAGAGACTGCGGACAGCAGTACAGGGATGACAGAGACTGCGGACAGCACAGGGATGACCAGAGACTGCGGACAGTACAGGGATGACCAGAGACTGCGGACACAGTACAGGAGATGACCAGAGACTGCGGACACAGTACAGGAGATGACCAGAGACTGTGGACAGTACAGGAGATGACTGCTGACCTTTGGGGAGGGGGGGGGGAGTGGGTACCTGAATTTTACTTCCGTGGAGTTGTTCTTTGACCTTACCTGTTCCTCTATCCAGCCGCACGCTCTCTTCCCGGCTTCTGTAATGGCGCTCGGCTTGACAGCCGGGTGCCCAGTGCGCAAGAGCGAGAAGTGTTGCGCTTTGTGATTGGTCCGGCGGCTTTTGGGACCTGTCATGTGTCCCAGGTGCCGCCTTACCATTCACAAAGAGCACCGCTTCTTGCGCATGCGCACTGGGCACCCGGCTGTCAAGCCGAGCGCCCACACTACAGCAGCCGGGAAGACAGCGCGCCGCTGGATAGAGGAACAGGTAAGGTCCCGCTGGATAGAGGAACAGGTAAGGTCCCGCTGGATAGAGGAACAGGTAAGGTCCCGCTGCAGAGCTGAGCGGCCGGCCCGGTATTCTGACACGACGGCAGTGGAAATACCGGACTGGCCGCTCCGTATGACGCACTGACATTTTCCCCCCTTTTTTTGGGGGGGAAAAAGTGCGTCTTATTGAGCGAAAAATACGGTAGTTAATTATTGTTTATTTTTTTCTAGATAAGCAGGGATAGCCGTCATCCATTCCGCTACTTTCGGCTGACACAGTGTTGGGATTATGTAAATGGAAAAACTGTGTGAACCAGAATTTAACAAAGGACTTCTACATATAAAAGGTTCATTGGTCTATAGAGAGGAACATTTGTATATACACTGGTTGCTGGGATACATTTGTATATACACTGGTTGCTGGGATACATTTGTAGTAGTTTCCAGGAAAGTGGTTTTATCCTGATTGATAAAAGATTACACCTGTTTGATTCTCATTGAGCTTGACAAAGAACACGTTGCAAACAAATGTGATTTGTATATCCAACTTATGCAGGCCATAGATGGGTCGAAAATCGGCCGATTTTTCGGCCGAAAATAAAATCGGCCGATTTTCGGATCGTTAGTGGGCGATTTGGTCAACCGTTTTTCGGTATTTTGGCCGTTTTTTTATTCGGTAAAGTTGGAAAAAAATCGGCTGATTTTGCCGATCGGCCGATTTTCGCGGCAATTAGTGGGCAAATCGGCCGATTTTTTACCGATAAAAAATCTGCGCATGAGCAGTGACCTGCAAGAGGAAGACAAAAAGAAGAAAAAGAAGAAGAGGAAGACAATGAAGAAGAGGATGAAGAAGAAGAGGATGAAGAAGAAGAGGATGAGGATGAAGAAGAAGAAGAGGATGAGGAAGAAGAAGAGGATGAGGAAGAAGAAGAGGATGAGGAAGAAGAAGAGGATGAGGATGAGGATGATGAAGAAGAGGATGAGGATGAGGAAGAAGAAGAGGATGAGGAAGAAGAAGAGGATGAGGATGAAGAAGAGGATGAGGATGAAGAAGAGGATGAGGATGAAGAAGAGGATGAGGATGAAGAAGAGGATGAGGATGAAGAAGATGAAGAAGAGGATGAGGATGAAGAAGAAGAGGAGGATGAGGATGAAGAAGAAGAGGAGGATGAGGATGAAGAAGAAGAGGATGAGGATGATGAAGAGGATGAGGATGATGATGAAGAAGAATAGGATGAGGATGCAGAAGAAGAAGAGGATGAGGATGAGGAAGAAGAAGAGGATGAGGATGAAGAAGAGGAAGAGGATGAAGAAGAGGATGAGGATGAAGAAGAAGAAGAGGATGAGGAAGAAGAGGATGAGGAAGAAGAAGAAGAGGATGAGGATGAAGAAGAAGAAGAAGTAGGATGAAAATAAGAAGAATTCCAGTCCAGCAAAAAGTGTCTCTGCAGAGAGCTCCGCTATTTCTGACAGTTCTCTGACAGTTCCTTGACATTTACAGCGGTTGAAACATTGTATCTATTTGTTTCCGAATAAAAACATCTGTATCCTAAATGGAAACAAATAGATACATTGTTGCAACTTCTATAAATGTCAAGGAACTGTCAGAGAACTGTCAAAGAAATAGCAGAGCTCTCTGCAGGGACACTTTTTGCGGCTCTAGACGGGTAGAAAATCGGCCGATTTTTTTTACCATTGATGGTAACGTCGGCCACTTGAACAACCGATTTTTCGTTTTTTAAAAGAAAAATCTGCAGTTTTTCTCCCCATCTATGGCCTGCATTAGATTGACAAGTAAAAGAGCAATTCAAATGAGCTATGGACTTCACATCCTTCCAAAATGCTTTGGCTGGAGTTGCACTTAAAAATTGTACCTGTCCCAACTTGCATATAAATTGACCTTAAGAACAAATCTTGCTCATAACCCAGGGACTGCCTGTATAGATTATATAAAAAATTATTATATAAAAAAATGGTGAAACCCAAGTTTCCCGAATAATAAAATACTCCATAGAAATGCACAATGTCCCTTTAGTCTGCATTTCCTGAGTTTCCCAGGTAGAAGTTAGAGTAGAGAAGGAGGGGTTCTATTACGGGACATCAAAGTTTCCCAGCAAACTTCAATTACCTAAAGAAAAAATGCTTGTTTGAGGACAAAAACCTGTTATGTAACCAAACAAGTAACACTGTACTGCTTAAAAAAGAAGTAAGCGGTATGACAAAGGTGAGCGTGTCTGTCCTCAAAGGCTACCCACCACCCCAAGGAACTAAAAAAAAATACTCCAGCAAAAAATTATATAACTGTAGAATTCTACTGGGTCAGTTCCAACTGATCAAACCTTCGAGACAAAAACATTATGTAACATACACCCTTCACTGCAGGATTAAAAATAACTCTGTGAAGGAGGAAGCAGAGGACATGAAAAAGGAAGTTCCATGCAATTCTCATGTAGCATCTTCCCATGAGATTTGAGATCCTCAGCCTTCCTAGGATCTTGCAAGAAGGCCCATTGATGCCACTGCGGTCTATACAAGCACGCTGGAAGCTAGGGTGCAAGGTATGTACTTTTTCCCCCCAAAATGTTTAATTTCTGTAGTATTTTTAATCAGGGTTTTTAATGGGAAGGAAGAGAGGCCAAGTATTATTTAAGCGGGACTTGTATTTTTAATGTAGGATTGACTTGAACAAGTTTAACAATAGGATGTTAGGTTGAAGAGATGCAAATAGATCACCTGTTATTGTGCTCAGATCATCAATAAATATTGATAAACATTTCCATAACCTAACCTCCTAGAGTGGATATTGGCAGTACTTAATATTAACCTTTTAAATTTCACTAATTCACCTTATAATTGTAAATCAAAAAAACCCCCAAAAAACCTTCCCTAAACATATCTTCCAAAAACTACTCTTTGCTTGAAAACCAAAAGCTGATTTTCCAAGGAAAACATCCATGGTCACTGGAATCAGCTGCCTGTGCAGGAGTAACCCAACCACCTAGAGCCGTCATAGTAACCAAAATATATAAAGTCACTGGGCTTGAAAGGAAACATGGAGTGGGAGGGTCCAAATGGTAATCCACTTCTAAAAATCGTAGATGCATGGCTGTGATCCACTGGGGTGGGGGGTGGGGAGGGTCCAACTGGTAACCCACTTCTAAAAATCGTAGATGCATGGCTGTGATCCACTGGGGTGGGGGCGTGGGGAGGGTCCAACTGGTAACCCACTTCTAAAAATCGTAGATGCATGGCTGTGATCCACTGGGGTGGGGAGGGTCCAACTGGTAACCCACTTCTAAAAATCGTAGATGCATGGCTGTGATCCACTGGGGTGGGGAGGGTCCAACTGGTAACCCACTTCTAAAAATCGTAGATGCATGGCTGTGATCCACTGGGGTGGGGAGGGTCCCAACTGGTAACCCACTTCTAAAAATCGTAGATGCATGGCTGTGATCCACTGGGGTGGGGGGGTGGGGAGGGACCAACTGGTAACCCACTTCTAGAAATCGTAGATGCATGGCTGTGATCCACTGGGGTGGGGTGGGGAGGGTCCAACTGGTAACCCACTTCTAAAAATCGTAGATGCATGGCTGTGATCCACTGGGGTGGGGTGGGGTGTGAGGAGGGACCAACTGGTAACCAACTTCTAAAAATCGTAGATGCATGGCTGTGATCCACTGGGGTGGGGGGTGGGGAGGGTCCAACTGGTAACCCACTTCTAAAAATCGTAGATGCATGGCTGTGATCCACTGGGGTGGGGAGGGTCCAACTGGTAACCCACTTCTAAAAATCGTAGATGCATGGCTGTGATCCACTGGTTTCAAGACAAGTCTCTTATGGAACAAGTGTGCAGACCGACCAAACTATCATTCCCTGGTTTGGATTCAGGTTACTGCGGCCCAACCACCCCTGACTTCACACCACAATATGATTGCCCCAATGGCCAGTAAGGGCAGTCGCATTGGACAGAAGCTGTAGATGCAGCTTAGCGATAAGTCAGCCCCCTATAATGAACGTAAAACTGAGTGGAACACCAAATAAAGTGACAGCAGGGATGTTGTGGTGTGGGGCTCTTAGATGAGCGTACAGGACCGGGAGTACTGTAAAAGGAAAAAAAAAACAAAAACTATTTAACAAAAGCCATGCCATTTCATTTGCAATCACAATTTGCTGACAGGGTCTTTTAAAGAGCCAAGAAATGTCCAGACTGGATACCCACAGCAGGAAAGGTACAACTCCGTGGACTCCGCAGTTCTCAATGCTGTGCAGGGTCAGAGCAGAACTGACAATTTCTATGTTTTCTCCTTTAAGAAATGTGGCAGTGCTGTCCCTTTAACATTGGGAGGAGTGTCAGGAGCAAAGCAGAAAAGCCGGCGGTCAGAGACAATTTTCAACCAAAAGAATAAGAGGCTCATGCTGGAGGGAAAGAAAAAAAAAAATTACACGGCATGCCCCCAGTGACCAGCTGACACTCAGGAAAGTACAGCTCAGGTAAACATGCACTGCTCTGACCAGGGGAATTCAGTGACGTCAACTCTCACCTAATTATTACAGCATTGAAAACTTTTAGCTATAGAGCAAAGTGAAAGTAGAGTCTGAATTTCAGCTCCACCAGCATGACAGGACTCTGAAATCTGCAGAATTTAAGGGGAGTGAGCCTTGCCGAGAATTCAGCTGTGTGTCTGACCTCCTTTCACCTATACAGGAAACTTCCCAAACGAGGACCGCAATACTTAAACAGTTGTGTGGAGTTAATCCAAGGAGAGAGGCGCAAAGGCAGAAAAGACTAATGAACAGAGATGACATCACCACTCTCCAAATATGAAACCAGATTTTTGTACACCCTGTAAAACCTTTTTTTTTGGAATCCATTGAGGGACATGGGAATTCTAAATCATTGGGTTATACTGCTGCCTACAGGAGAACCAGACACTGCTAACATAAAGGTAAGCCAGCTTCCAGGATAACTCAGACTCTACCCAGCTTGCCTCATTTTTATGAGAAAGGAATAAATGGGCTAAGAAAAAAAAAAAAAAAAGACAACACAGAAGGCTGGAACCTGAGCCCCTCAAGAGGGTCCAAAGAAAGATATAATTTCCTATTCATCCATGAACATGGGTTTTTTTTTTTTTGTTAAATTGC